CTTGTCACATGATATCCTTTTTATAATTTGTAAAGTACTGCGTGGCACTAATTTAATATATTGATCATCAAAATAATATAACTATCAAAAAAAAAAAATACACACACATATATATATATATATATATATATATATATATATAATATATATATATATATATATTTAAGTAGACAAAAGTTTTCTTTTGGGAAAAAAAAAAAATACTTTTTTTTTTTTTTTTGGTTTTCCAGGATGCCATGCTGTTTTGTTCCGGGGTGTACAAATTCATGGCGAAAAACAAAATTGAAAAACATACTTTTTCATATTTTCCCTCGGAACGAGAAACTAATAAGGCTTTGGCTGGAGAATATGAATTTTCAAGATTATGAGATAGAGTATCTGGTGCCGCGTATAGCAAAATGCGTAAGTGGAAAATATAGAGTTTGTTCAGATCATTTCACAGTGGATGACTATAAAGCGCGGGGAACAGTAAAAGGGCGCTATTTAAGTTGTGACGCTATACCTACACTGCAGATGCCACCAGCCTTAGAACCATCAATTGAAGAACTTAGCGATCATACTTATTACCAGCGACAGAATTTGATAAGGGAGATATCAGAAGGGGAAATAAAGAGCGAGGAGTCATCATCTTCTCCTCAAATTTCTGAATCCTCAATCCTTTATGGTCCGATGTCTACTGACTCACCAGAGGTAGTACCGTCCTCATCTTCAGAGATGATTTATGACGAGATATCACCTACCGATCTGGAATCCCAACAAATGCTGGCGGAGGAAATTGAACTTTCTACTTCAGATGTTTTACTCTCTACTTCCGATGTTTTACTTTCTACTTCAGATGTTTTGATGGAGAGTTTAATTCCTGCACAAAAGAAGAAAAAAATATCTTCTCCAAAGCTCACAATGTCAAGAGGTACAAACACTAATTTTCCGGGACAGAAACGTAAACTGAAACAGATTTATAGACCGTATGCCTCCAAAGATAAAAATGTACAAGTGTCCGTTGACCGTTCTATCGCCATTCAGTGTGACTTGGTTAGTCTTCCTCCGCTATCATTGCAGACTAAATCCACACCTGTTGAGAATGATGAGCGATTGTCCACCAATGTCCATCCATTATTATTACAGTTTATCTTTTGTGAAGCTGATATTTCAGGACAAACTGGTATATCTCAAGGAAAATTTTTAACTGAACGAGTGATCCCTGACGAAGGAAAGACTCAAACAACAACAGTTCATTGTTCTGGACGTTCAGGTTCAATACCCTCAAGGTCTTCTGAAGTTCAAGCCAATGGAGCTCCTGAAAATATATTACAAGATGAATGTTACCATCCAAGTGTTAACGGAAAGGAAGACTATTTGAAAGAAATGCAGGTAGGTTTTCTCATTGACAACAAGCAGAAGATAGGAACGCAAACTGAAGCTGCCTGATCCCAAGACTTTAAAACAGGTTTGAGCTTTTCCCCTTCCTGGACCATGCCCCACTAACACGTTTCACTTTAGAAATAGACTAAGCCCAGGAGTGGGTGAAACATGTTAGACGGGCATGGTCCGGGAAGAGGAATAGCTCAAGACTGTTTTGAATTCTTACAACCGGGCAGCTTCTGTATGTATTCCTATCTTCTGCTTGTTGTTTATCTATTCGGGTGGGATGAGCCCGAAGATCTTATAGAAAGATATTATAAGATAAAAGTTACAATCCAAGCGTAAAAGAGGAGGAAAAATACTTGAAAGGGATGCAGGTAGGTTTTCACAATGACAACAAGCAGAGGATAGGAGTGCACACTGAAGCTGTCCAATTGTAAGATTTCAGAACAGGCTTGAGCTTTTTCCCTTCCCGGACCATGCCCACCAACGCGTTTCACCTACTGCTAGGCTTATACGTAGACTATGTCACCATCCAAGAGTTAAAAAGGAGGAAGAATATATGCCTCCCCTCTCTGCCAATCCCTCCACTGGCTTCCCATTGCCCAATGGATAAAATTCATAACATTAACAATAATGTATAAAGCCATTTATAACTCTGCCCCAAATTACATCACCGATCTTGTCTCTAAATATCACCCAAACCGTACTCTCCGCTCCTCGCAAGACCTCCTACTCTCTAGCTCCCTTGTCTCCTCCTCCCATGCTCGTCTCCAGGTCTTCTCCAGAGCTTCCCCCATGCTCTGGAACTCTTCCCCAATTTATCAGACTATCGCCTACTCTGCTCACTTTTAGGTGATCTCTGAAAACCTATCTCTTCAGGGAAGCCTATCCTGCCCTGAATCTTCCACTCTTCCAACCAGTCCATCCCCCACAGTTACTACCTTTTGTACCACTAGCCCCTCCCTCCCAGATTGGAAGCTCCAAGGAGCAGGGCCCTCCTATCGCTCTTGTATTGAACTGTATTGCTGCTGTATTGTCTCCCTTTATATTGTAAAGCGCTGAGCAAACTGTTGGTGCTATATAAATCCTGTATAATAATAAAAATAATAATTAAAGAAATGCAGGTTGGTTTTCTCATTGACAATAAGCAGCACATACGAGCGCACATTGAAGCTGCCCGATTTTACAACTTCAGCTTTTCCTCTTCCCGGACCATGCCCTACTAACGCATTTCATCTTCAATGTAGACTAAGCCCAGGAGTGGGTGAAACGGGTTAGAGGGCCATGGTTCAGGAAGAGGAAAAGAAGAAGCTTGTTTTGATTTTTTAGAACCGGGCAGCTTCTGGGTGTATTCCTGTATCCTGCTTGTTGTTTAACTATCGGGTGGGATGGGCACAAAGATCTTACAGAAAGATATTATAAGATGAAACTTACCATCCAATCTATAAAGAGGAGGAAGAATATTTGAAAGAAATGCAGGTAGGTTTTCTCAATGACAACAAGCAGAATATAGGAGCGCACGCCAAAGCTGCCCGATTTCTAAGACGTCAAAACAGGCTTCAGCTTTTCCTCCTCCCACATCGTACCCAGCTAACGCATTTCACCCACTCCTGGGCTAAGTCTCTTAGGAGTAGGGTAAGGGATTAGATCGACGGGGCAGTCAAACGAGTGGCTAAGAGGCACGGTGTCAGCAGTGCGCTTGGAGAAATGTCAGAGAAATCAGTATAGGAAACTGAAACTTGTGGAATGGTCTAAAGGTGAACTGTGGGTGCAGTGGATGCTAAGGCTGCACCAACTCAGGGTAAAACCCGGGATGTGCTCATGTTGGATCGCAGGGTGTAAGTTACTGTGGCAAGACATTCTTCATCCCAGTACAGTCCTGATAGTTCTCAGTTTATCATTTCTCTACAGAAAGGAGCATCTTATAGGGATCTGATGACTACATCAATAAAGATGGACAAAGACCAAATCAATATGACTGAGAGGATATTGGATCTCACCCTGGAGATCATCTACCTACTGACCGGAGAGGTAAGGAGGATTCTGGGAGGTCACATGACGTCACTCTTATCTCTATTAATAAAACACAGACCTGACCGGAGAGGTGAGGAGGATTCTGGGAGGTCACATGACGTCTGAGGGGGATTCACTCTCATCTCTATTAATAAAACACAGACCTGACTGGAGAGGTGAGGGGGATTCTGGGAAGTCACATGACATCACTCTAATATCTGTTAATAAAACAGACCTGACTGGAGATGCAGGTGAGGGGGATTCTGGGAGGTCACATGACATCACTCTCACCAATAATATCTGTTAATAAAACAGACCTGACTGGAGAGGTGAGGAGGATTCTGGGAGGTCACATGACATCACTCTTATCTCTATTAATTTATTTATTTCAGGTACTGTTATATAGTGCCGTCCGTTTACACAGCGCTTTTACACACACACTCACATATATATATAGTACATTCACATCAGTCTCTAACCCTCAAGGGGTGTACAATCTAAGGTCTCTAACTCACATTCATACATATACTAGAGCCATTTAGACAGAATCCAAGTAACCTACCAGCATGTCTTTGGAGTGTGGGAAGAAACCAGAGTACCCAGAGGAAACCCACGCAAGCACAGGGAGAACATGTAAACTCCATGCAGGAGGCGCTATGGTCGGGAATCAAACCCATGACCCACTTACTGCAAAGCAGACATGCTAACCACTAAGCCACTGTGCCGCCCAATTAATTAATTAATAAACCACAGACCTGACCGGAGAGGTGAAGAGGATTCTGAGAGGTCACATGACATCACTCTTATCTCTATTAATAAAACACAGACCTGACCGGAGAGGTGAGGAGGATTCAGGAAGGGTCATATGACTTACTAAAACAGATACCTGATTGTAGAGGTGAGGAGGATTCTGGGAAGTCTGTAGTAATAATTATTATTTTATGTCTTTACACAGGATTGTAGAGTACCAAGGAAAATATCTGGTGAGCCTTTACTACCCAGCAGCCATCTTCACGGGACATCACCCATCACAGTGCCTCCACCTCACTGCCTGACAAAAGAGGGAACCAGTGGCAAGAAGATTCTAGAAGTCACCCAGAAGATCATTGATCTGCTGACAGGAGAGGTGAGCGGTGCCGGGAATTCTGGGACATTCTCCAGTAACAGACAAGGGGCGGTACTATATGTTGTGGGTCAGGTTCCTATAATGAGTCAAAATGTTACTCTCTTTTTCTCCATGGAGGAGTGGGAGTATTTAGAAGGACACAAGGACCTCTACAAGGATGTCATGATGGACAATCAGCCGCCCCTCACATCACCGGGTAAGAGGAGACTTTATTGTAAAGGAGAGAGCAGTACGGAGGCTCCACCTAGACCCCCCATCATCTGATAAACACATAGAAACAATGGATTCAGTCAGTGTGTGTGTGTTTCCTACAGATGGATCCAGTCATGGGAACCCACCAGAGAGATGTCCCCGTCCTCTGTATTCCCAGGATCAAACACAGGAAGGTCACACCATCCCTCACCATCATCAGGTACATGGATCCAGTCATGGGAAGCCACCAGAGAGATGTCCCTGTCCTCTGTATTCCCGGGATTCCACACAGGAAGGTCACAGCATCCTTCACCATCATCAGGTAGATGGATCCAGTCATGGGAACCCACCAGGGAGATGTCCCCGTCCTCTGTATTCCCATTATTCCACACAGGAAGGTCACACCATCCCTCACCATCATCAGGTAGGTGGGACTCAGCATGTAGACCTAAAAAATGTATTTCAAGCTATGAGATGATCTCTTGCTCCTTTTTATAAATTTGTTCTATAATCTTTGGGGTTTAGGGTGAAAAACAGAAATGCATCCAAGCTGAGATTAAGGAGGAAGAAGAAGAGATGTTGGTGAGTGGAGATCAGCAGTCTATGGAGGAGGGGGAGATGATCATGACAACTAAACAGAAGGAGGCTTCTTTACATATTTCCACAAGTACGTAATAAACACTCAATGCAGGATATATTTACATATTTATTGTACTTCTATGAGTACAAAATATGCATTTACGTTGTTATTTGGGCTGAAAAAAGACAAAAATCTTTGACTTTACCCCTCCCCCTTAAAAAAAAATCCAAACCCCTCAGCTGTTCGACAGGCATAAAAGACAAGTAAAACTTGGCCTAACAATGTATTCAGTCAGTGTGTGTTTTTCCTACAGATGGATCCAGTCATGGGAACCCACCAGAGAGATGTCCCCATCCACTAGATTCCCGGGATTCCGCACAGGAGGGTCACACCATCCCTCACCATCAGGTAGATGGATCCAGTCAAGGGAACCCACCAGAGAGATGTCCCCGTCCTCTGTATTCCTGGGATTCCACACAAGAAGATCCCATCACCCCTCACCATCATCAGGTAGATGAGACTGAGCAACCGTAACACTATCTAAGCTGCAAGAAAAGATTTCTCTCTGTAACTTCCTTTTATTTATAAATGTATGCTATCATCTTTGGGGTTCAGGGTGAAGAGCTGAAAGACATCAAAGTTGAGGTTAAAGAAGAAAAAGAGACTTTGGTGAGTGGAGATCAGCAGTCTATGGAGGAGGGGGAGATGATTATGAAAAGTAAACAGGAGGAATCTTCTCTACATATGGACACAAGTAAGTCATAAATACTTAAAAGAGAGACTATTTGCATTTTACTTCTATGAGAATAAAGTATCTTCGTTTACAGATACATGTATTGTTACAGAAAAGAATGAATTTCAATCAAATACAAAAAAAAAAAAAGATCCAAAAATTTGCCGTTGATCCAAATGAAGGCAAAACCCACATGTACAGCTTGGCACAATTTGCTCCCACAAGAGTGAAAGAATTTCCTCCTAATTACAGATGGCAGTCAGATAACTCCCTGGATCAATGTTCAACCATATTTTTTCCTACAAATATTAGGAAAGATATATATTTTGTATTCAAATTTTTAGAGAAATATATTCAGCCGTTAAAAAAAATTCCTGTTGAGGACTATCCTTCTGTTTCGGCAGTCCTAAGCAAAGTAGGGAAGAACTTCAGGTTCTGGTTGACATTGAGATCTACTTGAACCCAGGATGCTTTCAGTTCAGCAAACTGGCAAACTAAATGGCCTCAGTTGGTCAATTTACACACCTGACAGTATCCTCGCTGCAGCAGAGGGAAGTCATTTATTTATTGATGGTATCATTACTGCCAACAACTGCCAGCTTCCCGCGTGGTGTGTTTCAGGTGATAAAAAAACCAGTAGGGATCCCGGGCATGTCATTGACCAAATATGGTCATGATCTAAACATGTTATTTAAAGGAATTATGTATTTTTAATATAGCACTCTGTAGTACACCTGTATGTATGAGATCTACCTGCAAATAGCAGCGTCATCATTGTATCAACACTTATATTCAATGGTCCTGAAAAATGAGGTAAGGTACACCATATAAAAGGTCCATCTCCATTCCTCAATATAATGTCATGTTCCCAACAAATGAGGTGGAGATACTGTACGCCATATAAAAGGTCCATCTCCATTCCTCAATATGACGTCATGTTCCCAACAAATGAGGAGGAGACAATGTACACCATATGAAAGGTCCATCTCCATTGCTCAATATAATGTCATGTTCCCAACAAAATGAGGAGGAGACACTGGATTTTTAATGAAAGGTCCATCTCCATTCCTCAATATAACGTCATGTTCCCAACAAATGAGGAGGAGATACTGGACACCATATGAAAGGTCCATCTCCATTCCTCAATATAACGTCATGTTCCCAACAAATGAAGAGAAGATACTGGACACCATATGGAAGGTCCATCTCCATTCCTCAATATAACGTCATGTTCCCAACAAATGAGGAGTTACTGTACACCATATGGAAGGTCCATCTCCATTCCTCAATATAACATCATGTTCCCAAAAAATGAGGAGGAGATATTGGACACCATATGAAAGGTCCATCTCCATTCCTCAATAGAACGTCATGGTCCCAACAAATGAGGAGGAGAGATACTGGACACCATATGAAAGGTCCATCTCCATTCCTCAATATAACGTCATGTTCCCAACAAATGAGGAGGAGATATTGGACACCATATGAAAGGTCCATCTCCATTCCTCAATAGAACGTCATGTCCCAACAAATGAGGAGGAGATACTGTACACCATATGAAAGGTCCATCTCCGTTCCTCAATATAACGTCATGGTCCCAACAAATGAGGAGGAGATACTGTACACCATATGAAAGGTCCATCTCTGTTCCTCAATATAACGTCATGTTCCCAACAAATGAGGAGGAGATACTGGACACCATATGGAAGGTCCATCTACATTCTCCAATATGATGTAAGTTTTCAGAGAAATGAGATGGAAGAACGTTCATATGCATCCTTACAATAACAGTGCAGTTTTGGTTTATTGTATTAATATTCTGGGTTCTATTCATATTTTGGGGATATAAATGCAACCATTTCTATGCCTGAGCTCTATGAAGTGCTAGACAGATATATATATATATATATATATATACAGTAATTAAATGGAAGACACGAAGAATACTTATTACTTTTTTTTTTGCTTCCAAACAGACGGGATCTATGTCTGGAATACCACAGAAAACCATCTTATTTTATCTACAGTCTGTTATGAAGAGAACAATGCCATCACATAACATTCTCCGGGAGTAAATCCCATTACTCGAAACATAAAACACAGACCTTACCATTCGGAGACATCAATGGATCCCTCTAATCCTGAGGAATCTTTTCATGAATCACATACTGTTGCTGCAGATATGCACCCTGCGGAAAGAACAACAGATCCATCTAATTCCCAGGAATCTGTAAATAATTGAGTTAACACTTTAGAGAGTTCATTGTCAAGTTTGGTGTGTGGGAACATAGTACTGGTAGGACAAGAGGAAGGTAACACAGCTATGCGTCCCTATTAATGTTTGGAGTGCGGGAAATGTTTCAGTGAGAAAGCAAGCCTTCATTTGCACTGGAGACTTCACACTGGCAAGCGTCCTTTTTACTGATCAGAATGTGGGAAATGCTCCACTCAGCAGGGCATGCTTCTTAGGCTTCACAGGGGTGAAAATTAGTTTTCAGGTTCATAGTGCAGGAAAAGTTTCTCTAGGAAGGGAAGTCTGGTTGGACATCAGAAACTTCAGGCTCGGGATCGCCTTTGTACAGGAGTGTGTGAAATATTTTGCAGAAAAAAAAGATGATCTAATAAAGCATAAAAACAACGGTTAGAAATGCGTTTATGGAGGGGAACATCCTGGCAAAAGTGATAATTTGGGTATAGAAGTCTGATTGGCTGAATAACTTTCTGCCTCGTGTATTCCTTTTTGGAAAGTACACAGTCTAAGGTATTTAGTAAGAGGCATGGCAAGTTTGTTGAAGCTGTCATTTTTTTGACACTTTTTTTAGAAAATGAGGAAATTAAAAAAAAAAAAAACTTTCACAAATTTTTTAGTACATGCTGTCACCAGTGCAGTACAGGGTCATCATATAACTGGTGTGGCGGTGATCAGAGACACTGACTGGTGACCGTGCAAAAAAAGTGTCTGAGAATGTAGTGTGGATGGCGGGGAGAG